AACATTCACTGTGAAGACCCTGTGTCCACAGAAATCAACCACAGAGAACTGAGCGAACATCACTGAAAGAGCTGCAACTGCTAAAACTTTCATCACAGACACCAATGCAAAATGGGGAAAGATGGAGTCATGATTATAAAACCTGGACAGTTTGAGCACCAAGATATAAATCAGCTGAGTATTATCAAACCACTGTGGAAGAATGAGAAGCAGATTCCCTCCTCCAGTATCTCTGAAACAACTGGCAGATGTTTTATAGGCAACATTCAACTATTCAGAAGCTCTATGAACTTATTCTAGGAAGGTTTGAAGCTGTATTAATGGCAAATGGCGGTAAACTACCTTAATAATGAAATACTGCATACTTCCCATGTGCAGATATTTTTATTTCAGGATGATTATTATAATTATTTTAAAGAAGCCTGTTTGTTTAAGTTTTTATGGGGGCTTGTTTGCGCAAATATGCCATTCAAAAGTTTTGGATTAGTACGATTTTTTAAAGAAGTCTCTTCTGCTCATCAAGGCTGCATTTATTTGATCAATAACAAAAATATTATTATAACTTAAAACAATGGTTTTCTATTTTAATATACTTTCAAATATAATTTATTCTGTGATGCAAAGTTGAATTTTCTCTTTAAAAAAAATTATATTTTAAATAAATTCTGTTCTTTTTAGCTTTTTATTCATCAAAGAATCCTAAATAAAACGGTTATAAAAAAGATTAAGCAGCACTACTGATTCCAACACTGATAATAAATCAGCATTAAAATGATTTCTGAAGATGTGACACTGAAGACTGGAGTAATGGCTGAAGAAATTCAGCTTTGCATCACAGAAATAAATGATATTTTAAAGTATATTAAAAGAAAGAAAACTATTAAAAGAAAATGTATATTGCTAAATATTAATAATGTTTCACAATATTACAATTTTTTCTGTATTTTTGATCAAATGGGCCCTACATGCAGTCTTGATGAGCATAAGAAACGTCTTTAAAAACATTAAAAAAAAAAAAAAAAACCTTACTGATCCCAAACTTGTGAACGTTGGTGTACATGTGTTACACACATTTGTTTTCTTCAGGTTTAAGCTCTGAGAGTCAGTGTGGGGAAACACAGGAGCTTCAAGAATGAATGGACACTGACACCTAGTGTTTCTCTGTGGAACTACGATCAATTGTCTGCTGCACTTCAGATGTTCTTTAAAACTGATTCTTTTTATTTACTTTCTCAACACATGTTTGTTTGTTTATGACAGGGTTCCTCACCCCTTTGATTAAACTCATGCACCTGGTGTTTTTTGAAGCACGATGAGAAGGTGTCTCTGGACCAGAAAACCCAAAGGAGTCCCCAAGACCTTGTTTTTGGAACTGTTCCTATTACTTCATCCAGTAGGCTTTCAACTTTTACTCAGAGTCAGAGTCAGAAAGAGTTTTACTGCCAACTCTATTGATTTTTACTGTGCGTGACGACATGTTGACTGTTCCAAGACTGTTGGCCTGTCGAAGAACTGAGATCGGCTCGATTTGAGAAAGGGCTAAAGATTTGAGCAGATTAAAAAAAAAAAACACTGGGTGGATTTTTATCATTTTAGGGTGGTTGTGTACACACACTGCCAACACACATTTCAGTTCAAACAACTTGGAAAAGTGCATGTAGCATCATATTACCCCTTTAAAGGAAATTTACCATGTTTTATGTGAAGTTCCACAAACCATGCTCACGTTAACATACAGAATATTTGTGGATGATTAAACTTGTTGGCACAGTGGTGTATAATTGTAGTATTTTCTTTGCAGTAATAATAGTGTGTCATAGGAAGATATATGGCTGCAGCGCACAGTCGTGCATTCTAATCATATTCGCTGTGTCCGAAACTGTATACTTCTCTAATATATAGGCAAAAAGCAGTAGGTGAACGAATAAGTACGTCCAAATCCTTAGTTTTCATAAAAGAGTAGGCTACTATTTCGGACGTGTGTATACTAAAGTTTTTTCCAAACATGCCTACTTGCCTACTACAGTAGGAGAAAACAGTACGTGAAAAGAGTAGTAGGCTATGTCCGAAACCTCATTATTCATAAAAGAAGGCGAGAAATCCTCGGATGTTCTACTGCTTTTGCCCAGATTCTGAAGTGCTCATTGATGGATACTTTCTATCCCAGAATGCCACAGAAGAGGATACGTCATAATCGAACAGCGACAAGGGTGTTTTCAAATGTGAGAACTAGAAAACCAAAAACCTTGTGTTAAAATTGCATTTGTTGAACTACTGTAGATTGTTGAATTGTTGAAGGTGTAAAGATGCTAGACAGTACAGTATATTTGTGATTTTGCTGTAAAACACGTTTTATTATGTATAGCTAACAGGGGAGCTCCAGTAAGTACACGTACATCTCCAAAGTGGATTTACATAAACCATATACTTCTTTAAGACGCTAGGAAAATGTTATATCTCAAACACCAAACCAGCACAGATGTTCGTTTTTGTGGCACAAATTAATGGCTTTGGTGATAATTTGTTTTTATGGGGTGCCAACACCACGGAGGTTACTAAATGTCTATTTAACATCTGACAGGAAAATCTTTGCTAAGTATTGCAGGTGAGCACATCACAACATGAAACAGACATCTGAGTGAGTTACATGTATGTTATTATGTAGTAGAATTCACTGTTGTCAACACTGCTTACATTAGATGAAGGTAAGCGATGTAAATAAACAAATTTACTAGGGGTGAGTAGTCAAAGATTCGATGCGTTGAGAGGAGGAGCCTGATTCGACTACCAATCTCACAGTTGAATCTTCGTGTGTTATGAAACGAGGATCATGCCATTTTGGCTATATGGTGGTGTTCAATGTCTGATTTCACATAGAACTACTGTTTTTCTCCCAATAAGTTAATATACAGCCCGTTATGATAATGCTGTAAATAAAAATGTGAAAAGAAAGAAGCTTTTAAGCTTTCCATGATCCGTGACCGACAGAGGAGCATCTTGGCGGCAGGGATTTAAATCTTTAAGCTTTATCGTACTTCTCTATGTAACAAATGTCATGATATTCTTTGTAAAGCTGAGATTCTAATGCTGTAAAGCAACTCTAAAAAGAGGACAGTTGTATCCTTTAAAATTCTTTCAAATATTCTGATTTGCTGCTCAAAAAAAAATTTATTATGTTGAAAACAGCTGAGTATAATTTTTTTCAGGTTTATTTGATGAATATAAAGTTCAGAAGAACAGCATATATCTGAAATAGAAATTTTTTGTAACATTATAAATGTCTTTTTATAGAAAAAATTATACTGACTCCAAGCATTTTAATGGTATATGTATAATGTTACAAAAGCTTTTTATTGCTTTATCGTACTTCTCTATGTAACAAATGTCATGATATTCTTTGTAAAGCTGAGATTCTAATGCTGTAAAGCAACTCTAAAAAGAGGACAGTTGTAAAGTTTTTATTCCCCCCAGTTTAAGTTAGTACATTGATGATTCAGTTCGGTTGAATAATTGTGAAAAGTTGATCAATTATGTAATGTGTTCAAGCAGGGCTGGACTGGGACAAAAAATCGACCCTGGCATTTTTTACCTCTATGAACACAATTGACTTGGCCAAAAAATCGCTGGGGACGAACTTACGTTTTATTAAAAAGTGTTTACGTATTCTACACTCATGGCGTGCACACACATTAGGATAGGTTAGATGCCTGCCTCCGCTGCGAGTCCCTATCAAGCACTTTACAGATTCAACTACTCTCTTCTTCTCCTCCTGCCTTGCTCTTTGGCCCGCATCACTCACCGCAGAGCAAGCCTGTTCTTGATAATGCTGCTGTGAAAACGTGGGAAATGCTGACGAGGAAGAAGTTGCGGTGATACGATCTTTATATCGGCGGTACAAAATACTTCATCGCTCCATCTATAGCGCATTGTGATTGGATGTTTACGCTTCAAGTCATCTATAAAGCAGCTTTAGAGAAAACGGCTTGTCCAGCTCAGCTCTGTTCCATCCAATAGTGTCTGTGCGATCTAGTCCCTAATATTGCCAAATATTAAGTGTCCCCACTAAGCAAGCCAAGAGGAGACAGTGGCGAAGGTCATTAATACAATTTGTAAAGGAGGTTAGGGTTTAGAAAACATCTGGCTTGAGTCCAGCAGGGGTTTCTATAAGAACACAGAGTCCAGTCATTCCATATGACCACTTTATTTATCCATTGAAGCAGGTAGAGCTAAGATGAGCAGGAAGTGCATCGTGTGTGTGTGTGTGTGTGTGTGTGTGTGTGTGTGTGTTTTCTAAACAAGAACAGAAATACAAAGTTGAATAAAAATAAACCATACTTAAGATGACACAGTCAAAGACACACTATATAAACAAACTTACATTGCTCACGCATTGCTCATTACACACACATTTTACAAATCAGGCAACTCCAAAGGCTCTCAGTCTTTGTGCATCAATGCAGGCATTTATAAATTAGGACCCATTAGTATATGGCTGCAGTAATTGGCTAATTAACAGAGTATAAAGGTCAATGAGTAGCTAATTAAGGAGGAACCAGGACTAATGCTGCATATCTAGTCTTGTCAAGTCAGTTTGCTCGGAACAATATGGTGATTTTACTTTTTTTCCATAAAATTCAACGATTTTTTTAAACTTTACATCTACAAAATGATGAATAAAGAATGTGCGTCATTGTGTTTTTGCTTTTTTCTGTTTTTATTCAATTTATGAAGGTGATGTAAACTGAATCATTATATGTTCTTTGGTAATTATACAATAATATAATATTTTGTATATGTAACATATAGTTATATTTTACATTACAAAAAATTAATCATTTTATTTATTTCGACAAATTTACCATCAATACAGATGCTGCATATTTAGTCTTTGGATGCGTCCATTGCATCCGACACGTTTTCTCACTGATACGCCCCCAACTCAGAAACTCGGGGCTTAAAGAAAATTTCGAGTTTCCCACTAGTAATAACGACTTTGTGGTGGTGTTCATGTGCATTCAACTTGTAAATACGATCTATCCGACATGACTTGAACGCAGCATAAGCAAGTGAAGTTGAAGCGTATTAGAAAAGTAAACAAAAAGAATTGCAATGCCAAATAAACTTCAATACAATGACAAAAATAATGAAAACATTTAATACAATGCTTGCAAAAATTTTACAAACAACTCAGTCCCTCTATTAAATCTGCATGTGCTTGCAAAGAACTGATTAGACATTTAGAAACGGCATATTAATATTTGCGACATTTATTTGGACTGGCAAGCATAGAGATTTGACAGGAAGCGAAGCAGGAGAATTGTGAAAAGGACCACAAGCAAGGACTCAAACTCGGGTAGCACAACTGTGCCACATGATGTGCTCCCCACACAGCTATCGGAAGAATATTTCTTTTCTTTTTTTGTCATTTAGAGTAACTGTGCGTTACAGTTTCAAGCCTGCTTTTGCTGCTCCTAATACTGCTGCTCCTACTGTTGCTGCTGCTCGTCCTGCTACTGCTGCTACTGCTCCTGCTCCTCCTGCCACTGCTACTGCTACTGCTCCTGTTCCTGCTACTACTGTTGCCCCTCCTATTACTGCTAGTGCTTTTATTCCATAACCTTTAGATCTTTGTTTCTGAGCCTCCCATTTAATTTCATCCTGGGCTTTTCTATACGTCTCGTTAGTGTAGTGCTGTCCTCCATTCTCCTTCACCATCTTCTCGATCTTCTCCAGCAGTTCAGTGACCTGAGAGCGGTTCTTCATGTCTTCATTATTGAATAAATGATATCTGTCACCACGCTCATTAACAAGAGCCTTGAGATCATTATTTTCACTGATATAATCATCTAATGTTTGTCCCTTCAGCTGATCTCCTCTAGTGAACAGAATGATTGTGTATCGAGTAGCTTCTTCTCCAAAGTTCTCCTGAATCCATTTCACTGTGTTTTTCTCCTCATTTGTGTATCTCGCGTCCAGTCTCATGACCAGCAGAAATACATGAGGACCAGGAGCAGACATGTAGACACACTTAGCTATTTCAGCTTTCAGTTGTTCTTCACTCATGTACGTATCAAACATTCCTGGAGTGTCGATCACTGAGATGATTCTGTCCTCCACTGTTGTCAGATGTCTTTGACAATGACTAGTAATAGACTTAGATGACATACCACTCTTAAACACAAAGTCGCCGATGATGGTGTTTCCTGCTGAACTCTTTCCTGATCCAGTTTTACCCAACAGCACAATCCTGAGATCTGATAAAGAGAGAGGAATTTAAGATGTTATTTACACTTCAAAAGCTGATAACTTCACATTTGCCTTTGCTCACTATGGGGCCTCGGCAAAACTCCAGGGGGCCTCAAGAAGATTTAAAATGACTAAAATAAGACAGAACAAAAATATATAAAATAAGTTAATTAGTGAATTTTTTATATAAAATAAGTAACATTGTTTTTGTCAGACTCTGGTCCGTGTTTTGTGTGTGTTTTGCTCCCCATGTGCCTTCCTTGCCCTTGTTTGGTTTTTCCTGTTCCTGTCCCTGATTAGATCTTCATTTGTTTCCAGCTGTGTTTTATTAATTAGCTCGTTTTCTCCAGTGTTCTTAAGCCCTGTGTTTCCCTGTCTCTAGCGTTTGCTGTCAAACGTCTGTTCCCCATGCTACATGTGTGTTATGCCTGTATGTGAGTCTTTATTTGGATTAATAAAGATTGCTCCCTGTGAATTGCTCCGACTCTTCGCTGCCTCGTTCCTGACACAGTAGCAGTAGCCGAATCGTGACAGTTTTCATAATTAACATAATTTAATTAACATTATTTACCCCCTCAACAACTTTTTTTCCATCGAAGAACCAGGGTCCCCATCGTTTTGAATAACTTGTACATACTGTATGAGGTCACCTAATTTTAAAAGTGTAATATCTAAAACTGGAAAAGTCATGGAAATTATATACCATGGTAACGGTACACCAGGATAGTCCATAACCAGGTGTTGGGTGGTTCTTTGCCTACATACCATGTTTTTGTTTGCCTCCAATTAATGCACACCAAGTCATAGATTATCACTTACATACATATATCATTTACCTTTTTACTTAATCTCTCAGAATTAAAAGGAACAAAAAAATGGCTTAATATTTACCAATGTTTGAACTTTCTCTAGCAATCTGTTGTATCAGTCCTTTCATCTCTTCCTGCCTTTCCATCTGTTTCCTGAGATGTTCCTGGTCTGAGAAAGAGAACATGTCACTTTAAATCGCTGTGACTGTAAATGCATTACTGCTATAGCTGTACATTTCAGATACTTTACTTTGGACAAAATGAGAACCATTTCTGGCCAGTTGGGGAACATAAGTTCAGTTACTTCCTTGTTCTTGTTTCTGATCATTATGCTTAAAATGACTGTGCCTTTCTCAAGAATAAATAAATAATAAATTAATGAGCGAATGAATAAATAAAAAGTGTGCTTATTTAATGTTATTACATCCACAGTAGCTATGTAATGCATTTACTATGTATTTTGTTGAATATCAGTAACATTGTTAGAACACTCAGTTGGACTGAATGGTACAGCTTATTCATGATTGTAAATATTTGACCTGTATGTTTGTTATACTGTGTATTCAAATGCATACACCCTTCTTTCATCATTTCACCTTTCCATGATTCAGTGCTTTCATTAACCCATAGCATAATATAGGTGAATCATTCTAAACCCTAATACAAATTAATTTAAATTAATATAAAATACAATTGAAGTTAAATAAATAAATAAATGAATAAACTGGCCTTTACATATTGATGCCATTATTATTTGTTTTAAATACTGTGCTGAGAGTGTTAACCTTACTGATTATCTTCGATTACAGCATAACAAAATGAACAACAGAGAAAGAAAGGAGCGCTTCACTCAAAACTAGTTTTTACTTTTTAAAAACAAGAGGCAAAGGGCAGGAAAACGTCTCGCGTTTTTTAAACGTTTAACTTGTTTTAATTTAGTTTGGTGGTCTAAAACTTCTGCGTCGTGTTGCTTTTTTTATTGTGATCCTTGAAGGCAACGTTCGTCTAGAATAACACTGGAAAATCAGCAGCGCACTGAAACTAGTTCTGTGTACACTGCAAATACGCACGTAGGCCTAGTTCTACACACAAAATGTCTCCGTTGGTTTTGCATATAAGTTTAATGAAAGCATATCTTTTAACTGACCTGAATGTTCACTTGCAGATTTTCTATGCATGTCGTCCATACTTTCGCCGCTTCTGTATATTTTCTCTCTCTCTCCTTGCTGTGACCTTGCAGTAAACTATACGCAATGTTTACGTTCACTTTCACATTTAACGCAGTGGGTGGAGTGAAAAGAAGACACGTCACCAGTCAGTGTATGTTGGCTCGTGAGAAGGTTTTTCAGTGAGAGTAAACAACATGGGTGTATGATCGTTTGAAGAAGTTACTTTGTATGTTTTTGTAAGCTATTCTGCCATGTAGCCTACCGTATGAGAGCCAGGTGCATTTTGAAGGCCTCAAGGCCAAATTAACTGACGGTGTAGGCCTTATGGCCTACCTGACTGCACTTACGAATAGACAATACAGAAGGAAGTACTGGAGAAGGGAGATGCTACAGGATGAGATGGTGTGGAAATTGATAATGTGTGTAAAACTCATTAAAACCCTCAAATGTAATCTAAAGATCTGCTCTAACGAATGTTAGATCATGTGAAAACAAAATATTGAATTCTGGAGAACATTGCCCATGTCAATGGCAGGAAGGATCAACTCAGTGAAGATGGTAGTACTCCCATGATTTTTTTACATTTTTCAGTCACTCCGTCCTGGCTTACAATGGAGCAAGCATTTTGCAATAGGACATCTCTTGCTGCTCTTCTTAATAGTCCTATTAGAATTGACCCGGCCTTATATGATAATCACTTTATTATAAATAATGCGCTGAAAATATGGCAACAGATTAAAGCCTATTTAAAGGTTCCCGAAATGTACCTAGATAGTCCTATATGTCAGAATCATGCCTTCTCTCCTGGTTTGCTTGATTCAGGTTTTACACAATGGGAGAAGAATGGCATTCAAAGAATAAAAGATCTGTATATAGATGGGACATTTGCCTCATTTGAGCAATTAAAAAAAAAAACTTTAACATCAATATTTCAAGATAGATACTTGCAAGTTAGAGATTTTGTGAAAAATCAGATGTCAAATTTTAATGTTATGACAGAACACAGCGTACTTGAAGAAATTAATACGTTTAATCCTTTGCATCGGGGAGCTGTGTCATGTTTCTATAGTATTCTGTTAAAACATGAAGTAGTTGATGAAGCCCAAATTAAGCAGGCCTGGGAGATAGAATTAGGTTTAGAGATCGATTCAGACAGTTGGGAAGAAGGCCTTGAGAACATACACGCCTGTTCAATTAATGTAAGGCATAATTTAATTTCCAGATTTCAAAAGTCGCGCATGTGCAATTTAATTTAAGAGAGTAATAGAGGGGGGTTTTTTTGTGCATGAGGTGTGCATTGCTCAAGAGGGGAGTAAAAACCTGTGGATACTGCTTTTGAAGTGGGGGTGCCAAGGGAGAATTGGGGAGCCTCTTTCAGGTGGGTTAGAGTGGCCCCAATAGTGGCCCCCACAGAAGAAGGGATGAATTTGCAGGCGTTCATGAGCTGAGGGAATAGAGAACTGTTAGTCGTAGGGCCAGTGTTTGTTTTGTATTGTCTAAATGTTGAAAAAGTGAGTTGTGTGAGTGATATTAATTGTCTTAGTGTTAGGAGCTAAGTGTGTTGTAGGCTATTAATCATTTGGCTGAGGTACTAACTGCGCTGTGTTGAGCTGTGCATGCAAATTAATGTGTTGAATGTAAATGTTTTTGTCTGTTTGTGGCTTCTATGGTATGGAACAAAAAATGTGTAATTGAGTGAAAAACCAGATTGTGGCATAGATGAATTCATCCTTTGCTGGGAATAATAGAGGAGAATAACAGTAATCTTCAAGTAATCTAACAAGTTGGTAGCTGATGTAGTGATTTTGCCCACCTAGGGAGGCGAAATAATGTAGTGATGGGTACTCATGACACCGATGACGTTATGATTTTTGGATTTATGCACAGGAGTGCTTGCTGTTGAAAGGAGCTGCACAGGGTTGTGTAAGGCTCTCTGTATGGGCTGATGAGGCAGATGTCCCTTTCCTATCCATGATCAGATTCCAGTCTGACCGCAGCAGTGAGGGACGTGATGGACGGCAGAGACAGGTGAAGGTGGACTGCTTCATCAGAATAAAGCTGCAGAACTGGAACAGCTGTGTTGAGATGGCTGTAGGATGTGGCTTCACCGTCTGTAAATAGCTTACATGATTGTTAGAACAAGAAGTTTGAATAAAGCTTTGTTTATGTGTTGTTCACTTGTATGTATTTATTGTGATGCTTACTTTTATTCATCCTTTTAGTCATTTATTCTTGTTTCCTATTGTTGTCAGTAAATAAACTATAATTATTTCATTCATTCATGCATTCATTCATTGCTTGACTGAAAATGGACATCGGTTGCATTTGTCTAACTAGTAACTAATAGCTGTAATATGACAAAGCAAATTACATGTTGCCTGTTTTACTAAAACGTCATTTTCAGTAGGCTATAAAAAAGTAATGTAATTAATTATTGGTCAGCATATTTTATTATTAATGTGAGTATAAGTGTTGGGGTGGGCTAGCATTCTGGTGCAATCTTAATTTTTTAAGTAATAATAATACCTACATTTTTCAAGTTTAGAATCCACAATCTTTTTCAAAGGCGAGATCCTCAAGCAGCTGCCCGACATCTCCTTTGTGCAGACATTGCTCTCGGATTCTTTTTGTAAGTAGGTTATGAACACGTATCTGCATTGTTGGCATGCTAGTTAATAGTTGCGTGTATCTTGCTGAATCAAATAATACCCAATTTCCCCATATTGGCCATTTTGGGTGTCAGCTATTTTGAATTTAGCGTAAAATGCTGTATTATGTGAACGAATTATTAGCAAATCTTTACGAAACTCTGTAAGTGTCAGCGGGACCATACTCTGAAGATAGCCTACTCAAAAAGTATTGGAACAGTGCAACTTTCTGGGCAAGATTTATAATGAAATTTCAAGAAATGCTAATAGCTTTTGAATAATTTTGCCAATTTGAATGAATCTGGTCTTGATAGATTCCTTGGATCATCCCGAGAGCACCGATACCAATTATGCCATATTCGGTCGAATTCACAAGTACGCCATGTTGAATTTCTTTGCAAGCCTACTTTTTCGAACTCCTTCTATCTGTCTGTCTGATTTTCACCAAAATTGGCTCAGATCATCTTCAATCCATGCCGGCAAAAAGTGATCAAAAGGTTTTCGATAGACCAAACCGTTTTGGAATAACACACCAATGAACTTTTTGGCATGACGCCAAGCTGATTCTGAGGCTGCAACTCTTCAATGCTTTGGCATATTAACACAAAACCTCTTATGTGTTATTGTCATCTCACACTGACAACACCATAATAATTTGATAACAGTGCCACCTATTGGTCAAAAGTGATAAGCAGGTACATTGTATTACTACTAAAGGTATTAGTGATTTTTTCAGCCATTCCGACTATAATAATGTAAAAAGGTCTCTGTCCAGTCCACATCATCTTTAAGGTGTCTAGTATTAATATATGAATTCCCATATATTCAGTTTTGTTGAGTGTTGTCACAGAATGAGTAAACATACTGACGGTCACAATAGTGACCGGTGGGTTCACAATGCATTTAGGTATAAATATAAATCCAATTGCAGTTGTTAGTGAAGGTTGCGCTAAACTAAATTAAAAGTTAAAATGTTACAAATTAAGTTACAATATTGGTGTATTAATAACGGTGTAATACTGGCAGCACTAATATAAAAATTTGATGATATATGTTACAATAAAGTAACAATTTTGAAATATGTTGATGGTTGTATTTGTTTTTTATCTCAGTATTACTATCAGTGTTGTAGAAGGGTTTTTATGCATAATAGTAACCCTAGAATGTGATCAAACTGTTTAAAATAGCTGGGCTAAGATATATAACAATTTTTAGAAATATATTAATATAATAATTCAGTATACACATTATCCCACCGGTCACAATTGTGACCCACCATAAAACACAATTTTTCAAACACTTTTCCAAAGAATTTTCAAAAAATAATTATTGATTATTTCAAAGTGTTACTAATGACACATCATTTGCATATTTTCATGTCTGGGACAAATTTGGGATTAAATTGGTTAATTGCTGCTTTCAGCTTTATTTACTGTACAATTATTATTAGTAGTAATATTAGTTTTATTGTTGTTGTTATAGAAACCATAAAACCATGGTAATGAGGAGCATGGTTTTTGTCATGATCTTACTAATACTTCATAATTTAACTCTGGATTCAAGAATTACAGTAGCTTTTCAACTACAACTACAAAGGAGAATTTAATAGTTCTAATAAACATTCATTTAAGTAAAATAATAAGAACCTGCAATATAATGTCATATTAATATTGGTAAATGCATTTGCAGTTTATTCAAAAATATATATTTATTATTTTCCGTCCTTTATTTATTAATAAATTATTTATTCCAATTTAGATGTTCTAACCCCAGCAAAACATTAATGGAGGATCATGTGGGCCGGATCATCTAATAGTAAAACTATTCTAAGTGGACAACTTATTATGCTCAAAAGTTGCTGCTGTGTTGATGTTGGATCATCTTCAATCACGCTGGTTTAGCTCCAGTGCCGCTGAGACACACCAAATACTGACAAAATATGAAATTCTCATGTTTCAGGGTACTTATGAACAAATAGTACAAAGATGAAGCGGTTTGCAATGATGGTCTGCAGCAATCGATCCAGTAACACTGAACCCGTAACATTCCTAGCAGAGTTTAGAGAAACAAATAACTTCTGCCCGGTAACAGGAGCAGCCACAACCCCAGATTTATTTCAACAAAATAGTGAAAATACAGTTTCTATAGTGGACTCTCTTCTCAGCTGTACATGATTGGAAACATTCATTTACAACAAAACATACGATAAAAAAAAAATGTATGCTTATATATCATTAATACAATCAATGCTGTTCGTAGCAAAACAACACGCACTAAAAAATAACAAAAAGAAAAGCATCTGGGTCCAAACAGGTAAAGTAAATGATAAAAATGTAATACTCCAGTTATGTCCCTTAATATAATACATTTATTTGTTTCATTTCAACCCTATACATCTAAGGTTTAGTTAATGTACAAATGTATCTTTTTGCTTACAGAGAGCAACGACTATTAAACCATTTGCATTCTATACAAAATGT